GAAAAGCAAAAAAAAAAAAAAAAAAAAAAAAAACAAATTACCTCTGCAGTAGAGCATTGTTATTTCTCTTCTAGTGTGCATGTTGTGTTTTCTAAATCTATTTTGATGTCTAACCAAAAGGATGTTTTACCCCCCACCCCAACCATATTAAATGCTATTTATCATTTTAAATGTAATTGTAGTACTGACTACATAGGTAGAACTACCCAACATCTACATACTAGAATACAGCAGTATATACCTAGAAAAATCACAAAGGGACATTCCAACTAAAAGATGGTCTGAACAACACATGGTTCCTCCATAATGGAGTATATTATTAAAAAAACAAATTGTGCTGTTAACTTTAGCAATGACTCATTTACCATAGAGTTGTGCTTACTCAATATTGCAGATAAAAATGTTAGAAACAATTCATGTTTGGTCCAGACAGCCCTATTTTTCCTAAGTGCATTGTTTTCAAGAAAACACTTGTATGGATCTTGTTTACCTCTAGCACGTGAAAGTTGACTTTTTATCAAGCAAAACATCTGACTTGCCAACAGAGGTGACTTATTACTGAAAAATAGTGTTTAAATTCCATGGTTGTATTTTCAAACCCTGCTATGGGAACAGCAAAATAATTATCTTGTGTAAAATCAATGACAGAGCTACTTAAAAAAAAATTGCAGTAAAAGCGGAAGTAAGACTTATCAATAATGCAGTGTGCTAAAGGTTAATATACAGGATTAATAAAAGGTAGAATTTATATCTACAATCAATTCTTATGCCATAAAAGAGGTTCACCATTTTGGATTTAAAACTGATTTCTTTGATGAAAGACTTCGACAACGAGACCACTGTACCTACAATAAAGGAGTATACACATTTGTAAATATTTAAATACATTTTTCTTTACAAGATTAGTCACTTAACATCTCTATATCTGCAAACAGGTTTGTAGATATCACTTAAAATTTACATGAACCAATTTTTACTAGTTACAACTTAATACAAATCTACACATACCAATCAAAATTCTGATTATCAAGAACCAGAACCAATCTTTAAAAGAAAAGAAATTCTTATTGTTATAGAAAAGTAAATGCCAATGCTCTGATTTGAACCTTCCATAAATGAAACTTCAACAACCCAAATTGACAAATACTTAAATTGCATGCATGCGTGTGTGCACGCACACATGTGCCTTTTAATGTTAGACAGAGTATTGTTATCCATAATATATGGATTACACAGATGGTACAGGATTCTGCAATAGGCCAGTACCTTTCAGACAATCCAGATTGTGCCTACAAATATAGAGATTCGATGTTTACCATTTTGGGAAAAGCACTGTTGGCAAAATGTCTATCAGTTCTGGTGGGCTGGCCACATGAATGACCATTGCCTCCCCCAAGTGACTGCTCTATATCATGCTATCCACAAGCAAATGCTCACCAGGCAGACCAAGCATTACTAAGACCCGCTGAAGGAGTCTCAAGCATTGTGGCATTCCCCATTCCACCTGGGATGAATCTGCTGAGGACAGTGTCATCTGGTGCTCCCTTGTACAATCCGAAGTATCTGATCTTGAAGAGAAAAGTATCAGAAATACCAGAAAAGAATGATCCCAACCTGGTTCAGCCCCCAGCATCCTATGTCACAACTGCAAGAAACTTTTCAGGGCAAAGATCAGACTCATTAGTCATCTTTGCAAAGCTATTCAAAGTCAAGGTCATCTCCACAAGCAGAGGATGAACATATACCAAATTATACCAACTGTGTCAACAAGAAACAGAAATTTGTCTGTTCTTTCTTTACTGGGAGGTTTGAGAGTCATTTTATACTCACTAGAACTAATTATTCTGATTTTTTTTGTCATTTTTCTTCCCTCCTACTTTAAGGAGTTGTATTTTAGCTTGTTTCCTCCTAGGCTGTTAGTCACTTGGTGAATTTTGTTAATATTCTATTTAGGTTGCCAACAGTTCTTCTGATGAGGTGTTGGCTGAAAAATGTGACCTTAAATGATAAAATGTGGTTTTGTTTGTTCAAAATATACATAAATAATTACTACAAAGATACATGTTTCAATGCCTAAACATAAGCATCTCTTCAGATGGTGAACAAACCACCTGATGAGATGCTTGTTTAGAAACAAATATGCACCTTTGTAGTGATTGCTTGTTTGTTCGTCTGTATGTAACAACTTATAAATAACTATTGCTCTACATATATACATCTTCAAATGTAATGAGAACAAAAAGAAAATACGTTCATAACATTGATTTAAAAGAGCTCAATAGCAACAGTAGAGCAATAGTTATATATATATATATATATATATATATATATAGTTGTGGGAAACATCAAAACAGGAGCAAAGCAATTATATTGGAAGGGGGAAGGAGAGGCCTGTCCAAATGAGGCCTTTAATTTAGCCCATTCTTGAAAGCAGTTATTTTAGATGTATTTTGAAGCAAAAAATTACTATAGATTAATTTAGTAAATTGACATTATGTAAGACTCTCTAAGAACCTTTTTCAAGGACATGCTCCACAAACATTAAATTAGCTTTTTGAAATTTTTCATAGCATTAACAGAAACCAAACCAGTTATGAGCAAAACTGCATGCATGTATCTGGGGCTTAAATTGGACCAATGAACCACCAGAGATGTCACCAACAGCAATGAAATAAACGAAGTCATGGAAATGGTCATACTCTTTTCAATATGAACTATAAATACTATATTGGGAATAAGATGTGGGCGGTGTCAGAAAACCTGCAGAAAGTGTTCTGATCTCACCTGTCAAGTTGAGGATGCACAAACAAGCAAAACAGAGCTTACAAAACAAGCCAGGGCCTGTACAGCACAAGTTTGTTGTATCTGCAATAAGCATTGCAAGTCACTTGCTGGCTTCAAGAGCCATTGTTGTACTAACAAGAACTAAAAACTATGTATCAAACTTGTCAGTGATGCTCATACATGTTTAACGAGTGAACAGCCATTAGGTGTGTACGTAGGTAGATAGATAAATAAAAAAAAAAAAAAAAAAAGAGTACATTTTTATACAGCAGTCAACTTTCAAGTCTTGACAGATGTGTCCTAATTAAAGGCGGAGGGGAAAAGAAAAAAAAAAAAAAAAAAAAAAAAAAGCATTGTGCAGTTAATTTGTTTATATAAAAAATGTGTTGGGTGAATCTTTGCAAAATATTGATCTCTAATGGCACCAATGTAGAATATAAAAAAGTATTGTCACACAGCCCAACCTCACGAGATATTCCGTTGTTATGGTAACAGGAGGCACTGACTAAAAAAAAAAAGTTACCATAACAGAAATATTTAAAATTTATTTCTTACCTTCCATGTCAACACAAAAAGGATCGTTATATATATATATATATATATATATATATATATATATATATATATTGCTCATGCAGAAAAAATAACACCATTTAAATATTGCAGACATTTTCATGATGCTATAAAGAAACCAGGGGAGTGAAAAGAAAATATTAAAATTTTGAAGGTAGATTATTCAGCATCAAAGATATTTATAAAAAAAAAAAAAATAATTATAGGAAAAAATACTTATGAAATGTTAAAATCCTTAACCCATATCCGCTTTTCTTTGCCATTAGGGAAAAAAAAAAAAAAAAAAAAAAAAAAGGAAAAGAAAAGAGTAACAGACATGAAAGCTCATTAGTTAGAACATCCAGAACCTTCTTGCACATTGTAGGAACCCCTTCCTGATTGATCATGTCTTCAGAGGTGTAGCCTTACTTACCATATTTGACTAATTGGTGAGGCAATTTAAGCTATAGTTGGAAGTTTTGAATTCAGATGACCTTCTCCTAGACTGGTTGTCAAGCAGTTTATAGGACTCAGTTTGTCTTGCTATTTAACTCATAGCTGACAGGAGGGAGGAGAATAAATGGATTTATACTTTTCCCCAAGGTTGTTTGCATGTAAATGAATGTAATGAACTTGACTTTTCAATGCCTCAATCTGCTATCCATTCTAAATAATTATAAAGTAAAATTTTTGCAAAGTGAAAATTTCACTGAAATCAAGAAAATGCAAAATAAGCAAAATTATCACATAATATGAATTAAAAGGTGTCAGCTTAAACTGACACCAAGAGAATGTGAGTAAGCATTTGTGAGAAATTGAATATTTAATTTATATTAGATTAAATTAAACATTTTTGTTAAGGAAGAATGAATGGACAGAGAAAAACCCTGCTAGAATTGGATCTTTTTATAGGTGGTTACATCATCTACCCAGGGTAAAGGATTAATTCCTTATGTATATTCCAATATTTTCTAAATAAATACTCTGAAATACTTTTATAATACTGAATATTGATGCTGGCTATATTTTGTCTCGTTTCGAAATAAGAGTTCAGTTAAATAGGAGATGGTTAACAAGAAAGAATTTATACATGTGAAAGCATGGCATTCTATACTACAGGCTTACTCATGTAGCAACTAAGGGTCACAGCTGGAGACCTTTTTAAAAAGTGATGCATTTCAGTTTATGGTAGTTCACTGCTGTAGTCAGCTTATGAAATTCAAAGACTTTTGCATAATGTATATGAAAAGTAATATTTTTTGTTTAAGATGATATCAACATTAGACAGATCATATTGTTCACCAGAAATTTCTGCTCCCTCTTAACTTGTTTAATATTAACTGGTGTCCACACCAAAAATACACATTTTCATTTACTTAACTTTCAACAAATGGGATTATCCACAAGTATAAATCAAAATGCCATTACCAATAATTAAAAAAAAAAAAAAAAAAAAGAGGGTGGGGAGAATGTTACTATGTCTCCCAACATTTCTGAGATACAAAGATTTTGAAATAGGTTTCCAGTTCTAGTCCTTAGTTGCCCCATGAGTAGGCCTTTAGTATAGAAGCTTGTGTGTGAAAAGCAGGGAAAAAAACAAAAACAAAAAACAAACACACATTTCTTTTTCCCTTACCCAACAAGTCTTGCATTTCCACAAGAACTTAACTTAGGGACAGCTTTTTGCTCATAGCATACATAAGTGTATTTTCCAAGATTGTTTTTTCACAGATAATCAACTGTAAGGCGGCATGACTTCTGTCATTTAACTCCTTGTTCTCAAGCTGTACTTTGTCCGCTTGAAGCGTTGTTGGATAAATACCTAACAACAGTTCAATACGCGCAGATAGGAAGTTCCAAACCTTCAACTCATTCTCAACAGAAATGGCAGCCTCCTCATTTTTCAAAAGGGAGGGCAAGTTCTCCAAGTTTCCTGCTTGGAGGAGTTCCTGCAATTTGGGTTCATCCATACAGCTGACTCGAAGAAAGGCCAATAGGTCAGAACTGACTGGCTTAGGGCCCGGACGGAGATGAAACGGGGCTATGGGGAGTTTGGCAAGACCCAGCACCTTTTTCTTTAGTGTAAACAAGGGGTCACTCTTGCTGACACCTAATTTGATAGCATAAGTGTCACACAGGTTTTCAGGATAGACAAACCCATTGTACAGAAGGAGTTGGGCATTTGGGCGAGACCCATAGAAGATAAAAACTTGCTCATCCTTCTTGAAGTCGGCCATGGCATAACATTCACTGCTGTTCTTTAGGAGATCAAAATCAGTAGACAGCTGACCATTACAGTGGTTGCACATGTCCCAAAGGGGGATGAGAGCATATGTCATCTGGCTGCCATCAGTGGTAGGAATTTGATTTAGTCTGGTTGTTACAGATGACACTGCCCATCTGAAAATGGAGAAAGAGACAGATATAAAAAAAAAAAAAAAAAAAAAAAAAAAAAAAAAAAAAAGTCAATTTCAACACCAATATCTAAAGAAATTATATTGTTCACTTTTTTTTTTTTTTTTTTTTAGAGGTGCTTCTTTTCCATGAAGACAGAAAAATATAATGACATACTAAAAATGGAAATTTTTTTTTTAACAGATTTTCAAACTGTCATTTTTATTTGTTATGATACCGGGTGCAATGGGTAAATTGTTGCTATATATTTTTCATTTTGTGCATACGTGTTTATGTCAAATGCACAATACAGTAGGGTCAGTTGGGCACTGACATAATTCACCTCACCAGAAATTTGAAAACAGCGTGCTGTACTGCTTGGCATTTGCGCCAGAAGCTCCAAGCAGTATCTTTGGGTGTCAATCTGAGAACAGTGCAGAGGATTTGGAAAGAGTTGGATGATATATCCAGACAACATCTGGAGTCATCACTAGTGATGGCAATGTTATGCCTCCATTCATCTTCCCACGGGTCCTCAGACTCAACACAGGAGGCTACATCAAGTGCCTTGAGGAGGTAGTGTTGCCTTGGGTCAAGTGGGTGGCTGCCAGAAGACCCTATGTCCGACAACAAGACACTGCACCATGCCACACAAGCAGAACCCAATCATGGCTGTTGGACAATGTCTGCAACCACATCACCCCTTACATCTGGCCACCTAACTCCAGACTGCAACCCCCTTTGATTATTATGTGAGGGATGCAGTTGAGTGAGAGACCAACTCCTTTGCAACATCAAAGAAGAACTGAAGGCAAGGATTACAGTAGCATTCACCAACTTAAACAAAGACTGTCAAGAAGAGTTGCAGGAGATTCCAAAGTTGTCTGGAGGCTGTGGTTGAAGCCAATGGCGATTTTATTGAATAAGTTTACTCTTTAGTATTTAAAGATACTTTTGTGTAATTTTGGTATGTTAAGATGAGATGCCAGTGTTATTTTCATTTGTGTAATTTAGATGGCTATGTCAAAGTACTGTATTAATGGAAAGTGATAAGAGCAAAAATAAAAAGAAACATCTCCAGCCAGTTTTTGAAAGCTTCAAATGAAACTAACCATGTAATTTATATACATAATAAAATTATGTGTTCATTTCACCAGCCATGACTAAGAGTCTCTTACACAGTCATCAAGCAGCAAGTAGTGGCCTTTTGGTGATATACACACTCATACCCACTTGGCTGACCCAATATGTTGCAATAAGGCTAGCTTTTGAGCATTCATCAACTAAAATCACCAAATACCCATATGCAAAAATGATGGCAACACCAAACATTAGCTTATATGAGGAAGGATTTAAAAAAAAAAAAAAAAAAAAAAATTCTTATTTTATCTAAATATTGATACATGCCTTAGTGTTTTTCTTAATATTTTAACTTAACCCTCTCACTGTCAATGCTTGCAACTTCTAGTTATACATATATAAAGGGCAGTTGTCTATATGAATGTGTGCGTGTCTGACTAAAACTAAAAACTACAGTAATTGATGTAAATATATATACAGACTCAGTATCACCCAAGCCAGATTTTTGCAAAAAACAAAATCAGTGTATGGATTGCATTTATGAAGGTATTTAAAATTAGAATGCATTCAAAATACTCAGAATTAAAAAATAAAAACAAACAGTAATAATTCTTATTCTTGATCATTACTGTTCATTTTACTTTTTAATTCTGCTGATACTTTTGAAATGCTATATAATACATGAATGTATTTTTAAAATTTCTATTCTATTGAATTTATTTTCACATGTAGAGTAAATAAAAGCCTAACTTTAAAAAAATATTAAAACAAAGTAAATTTAAAAGTTTTATTTTAAGAATATTAAATACAATTATTTAAAAGAAAAAAAAAAAATTCATTCAAGTAATCGATTGTGTGTGTGTAAAACATCTTAAAGTAAATAAACTTAAATTAAGATATACTTAAACAATCTAATCATTTTTTAAAGCCCAAACTTTAGCAAGATTTACTTAAAAAAATAATTTACTATTTATTTTGAAAGGGAATTTAGATTTTAAGTAAATAAAAAAAGTTTTACTTTTAACCATTATATTAAAGAAGCAAACATTTCTTCATAAATGAACTTAATTACTATTTCAAAAGAGTAGAAGCAAGATACATTAAGAATTTAGTTTTAAAAATCAATTATGTTTACATTTCAAGTTATATTTGTATTTGAAAAAAAAAAAAATTTAAAAATTAGGAGACAGTCAAGAGTTACAGTCAACATTAGTAGTGTTGAATATTTGTTTCACAAATTTAACTATATTTTATTTAAATTAAAGTGTATTTTTTAATAAAAATATGGGGATGCTCAGCACCACAGGCAGAGTATTTTCCTAAATTTAGTTTTTAAAAAAAAAAAAAAAAAAAAAAAAAAAAAAAATGAAGTTTATTCTTTAAAGATTGAATAAACAATTTTACCATAGAGTTTCTGAGAAAGGCTGCATATCCCCACTAGTGCACCAATAAAATGATCAAACAAGGGCATCACCTTGTTATAGTTGTAGAAATAGAACTTGCTGTTTTTTGGGGGGGTTTTTTATGAATTAAATGTCTTAGCTTATGGAATTAATTATTTTTTTACTTTCAGATAAATGGAAAATAATTTTGCAATTATAAAAAGTCTTAATAAATAAAGAGTTTCATAAGCACATTGCTGCAGGCATCAGGTAGTACACCCAAATTCTTGGACTATTAATTTACAGATCTAAATCAGCTGAATTATGCCAGATTATAAAGCTCTACAGTAATTATTAGGTACCACCATGTGATCGCTAAAAAAGAGCGTAACATGATGAAAAAGACGTCAAACTTGACGAAAAAAATTTTATCATCTCATTTTATTGTTCATGTCATTATTAAGAGGAAAGATCAAAGTATTTTTGGGCTATTCTTTTGCATTTTTTAATTGTTCTGAGCACATCTGAAATTTGTTAAAAATCTTGTTTTTTGAGTCAGCAAAATTGACAGGATCGATTATGGCATCCATTTTTTTTCCATTTTATAAAAAAGATGAAAATCTCACACTGAAATTCTTTTAAAAATCAATTATCATTTTTTCAAAACTTAATTTAAGAAAATCAGAAATCATAATGTTTATTTAAAATATTTTGAAGCAAGGTTGACTTAGCTTCTGTGCCGAAAATATGTAATTTGAAAATAAAACAAAGCCGGTCATAACCTTTTGTGTCACTTGACAGGTGATGAATGACATTGACAGATTACGTGATCATAATTTGTTCTACAGAAGGCGAAAAGTGAAGTTATTTAGATTTAAGTGAACAAATTATTTACCTCATTATTTTTGAGGAAAACTTTCAGTGCTCTAATTTCTTTTTGTACTTAGCTTTCACCTTTCTGTTTATGATGCTTTATGGAAAATAAATTAAAACAAGACTTAAGAGTGAGATTAAATTTCATAAGAAAGGTATCTAATTTATAGGTACCCTTCTTATGAAATTTTATCAGAAGTGTACATAAAATACTATAATTTTATGTACATTTATTACATTTTACTGTGTTATTTGTATTTCCATTCATTTTATTATTAATTTTGATATTTCATTTATGGAAAAATATCATAACTAAGATTAATATAAAAATAAGATCATAAATTTCATAAGATGATACTTGTAGGTACCTTTCTCAGTTGAAATTGAAAAATCAAATTAACTTCTCCATACGTGTTTCGCAAAAGTAAAGGCCTTAACAGCAGAGAACAATGCTTAACTTGAATAACGCAATTGTATTCAGGTTGGACTTCCGTACTTTATAATTACAGCCAGATTATAAACACAAAATTACATTTCTTAATTACTGCAGATCTTCTGATTAGTCAAAATGATACAATTTAATTTACAATGTGCTAAAATAAAAAAAAACATTTGTAATAATTTCGATCATCTGTGAATAGTTTCTGAAAGTTTCATTAACATCCGACAATTATTTTTATTTTTGCAAGATTTTCCAAATTAATGTGTGTCATACAAAAAAAAAAAAAAAAAAAAAAACATGCTAAAAATTGTATATGTTCTTTTACAAGTTCCGGTGATACAAAGAGAAACAAGGTTTTTTTGATCAAAATTTAGAATGTTCTAAAAAGGAAAAATTTTTAAAAATAACTTTGATCTTTCCTCTTAATAATATAAAGATTTAGACGATAAAATTTTGTTTTCGTCAAATTTGGTATCTTTTTCATCATGCTATGCTCTTTTTTTTTTTTTTAGCGATCTCATGGAGATACCAAAGTAATCATATATACAATTTTTATTTTTATATAAACAAACAAAAAACTAATGTCAATTAAGAAATCCTGTATTTATGCATTCTTGAAGATTACAGAATCACTTTCAGATATTAGCATCTTACAGAAAAAAAAAAAAAAAAAAAAAAAAGACAGATCAAATTAAGTATACTTATATATACTGATGTGACAAAAGACATAGGAGCAGTATGTAAAGGTAATAGTTGGTGGTGCCACAGTACATTACCCAGACCTATATCAGTTCTGCACTGTTTATTCAGCTTGAATACTGGTGAGCTGCTTATGGTAAGGTAATGTTAATTAATGTTATTTAAACAGGAGAATTATAGTGAATGCCAGGTGGATGGAATGTTGTTTGGACATTTGACATCCTCCCCCATGTATGGTGTCATGTGTGTCCTGGGAATATCTGATGGAAGCCATTACTATCCAGCATGGATAATGCAGTGGCTTATCACTTAATGAACATGATTAGAGAAGTTTTGTTTTTTTATCCTACACTATTTTTTTCATCCAATTCAAACTCAGTACAAAGAGGCTTACTGAACATTCAAATCAAATTACATCCAATGCCTGAGTTACCAGATACATATCCAGGTCAGCTCAGAATATTTTAATTCACATGAGATTGGGAGGGGTGGGGGCTGGGCTATCAGAATGTCACCACTAGAACATCTGACAAACCACTTCACATGAGTGAATGACATTGCTAATTGGATCCTGGAGAATTGGCAAGGTGTGGAATGTTCTACAAAGTTATATTTCCAGTTGTATCAGATTGACAGTAGGATTTGGGCATGGTGAGGGACTCGCTTGCCTGGAGGGTACTGTGTAGACTAGTGATTGCTCCATAACAGCCTTGGGTGTGTTCACATTGCATGGATAAGTTCTGCCATTCTGCCCAAGTATATCATTCGCCATTGACTATATAATGGTGCTGCTTAGTGACCATTTGCATCCATCCAGGTATCCCAACAATCAAATGTAATTCCAAACTCATCAGGCCAAAGTTCAACACAACTGGCTTGAAGAACATTCTGTAAACTTCAAATAAAAAGTGCAACCAGCATGTTGACTTGATGTGAATGCAATCAAGTATTTACAGGATTCAGTAATATAGTCTTTTTTTCCACGCAAGGTCCTGCACCTACAATCATCACAGCTCTGTGGACAGCTAATAAGGTGACATCACAACTTCTATCCAGAGATTTTCTGGACACTTTTGGAATTGATGTCATTCTGAGTTGCTGCACTTTGCTAGGTGGGAGTTCAAGTACAATAGTTTAAGTTTAAAATTACTTTGATATAGTCATTTTTTTTAATATTTAATTCCAATTCAGGTAACAATTCAAGCAAAAAACATTTTTAAATATGGTGAGTGTTTTTCTAACAGCCTAATATTTGGAAATTAAAAAAAAAAAAAAAAAAAACTGAAAGAAATTTTGCTATGAATACTAATGTGTGTGTATTAAAAATTTAAAACATAAGCAGTCTAAAATTTTACTGAATTGTAGTTACTCTGGTTTTTTAGTCTTTCCTTTTACAAGGACTTGATGAGGAAATGTCAGAAAATTACCAATAAATTTTTTAATTACTCTTATTTTCGTGAAAAAAGTCTGAGCTAGTTTTTAAGATAAATTTACGATTCAAACAAGGTTTTTATAAATCCAAGGACTTGTCCTTATAAACAACGTGATAGAAAGAATTTGAAATTTCATAAGAAAAAAAAAATGAATGGAAGAGGAGTTTTAGAATTAAATTCAGAATATATGTAAGAATAGTTTCAAACATGACATTTGTAAGTAACAACCAAGTCCAATATCTGCTTTAACTCATGAGAAAAAAAAAAAAAAAAAAAAAAGCACACACAACCAATATCTGTGTTCACTGAACTGTAATAAGTCAGGGTTCCATTAAATAAATTTTACTGTTTTTACAATTATAATTACATTGTGTCACTATTGTGAACACTAGAGAGAGAAAAAAAACCAAAACTTTTCGATCCTGAAATGTTACTTGAAGGTCTAGAATGTTAATATAAATAAATTTAATAATTCGACAAAATGTTTTTTTGTATGAGTGAACCAATAACTTAACATTAACAACATTAAAAATAGTGCTGAAACAAAACGTGTTCTTGCCCGGAAAACTAACTGAAGTGAACATAAGGTAATTATTAAAATTAGTAAAATAAATAGTGGAGACGTTAGAAACAATGAAACTAGTCCATAAATCCTTTAACCAAAAATTAAAACACAGTGCAAGGATTCTAAATCGCATTTTATTTTTTTTTTAATTATTCATCAATGGGAAAGAACTTTGCTACTGTTTAAAAAAAAACAAAAAAAACAAACAAAAACAGACCGGATCATGACTTTTTTTTTATTGAAAAAATTTATTAATTCTGAATTTTAAATTTCATTCTGAGACTTTCTTTTTTATTGAAATGAGTTTTTTTTTTTTTTAAGTGTTCGTTTAAAAAAAAAAAAAAAAAAAGTTCTATTTTAATTTTGTAACCTTTTTACAACTAAGTATCACTATTGATTGATACTTTTTTTTACTGTTGTGTAAAAAAATTATCTCAAGGGTTGTGTGTAGGTTGGGTATTAATCCGCGCGCCAATGTCACAACAGAATGTGGCACAAGGTCAAGGTTTAATGCGGCCATTCAAAAAAAAAAAAAAAAAAAATTGCACAAGCTTCGCTCGCACTTACCCTTGTCCATTTGGGGGATGCCGGGTAATGACCTCAGCCCCATCCCAAAGGAAAGGTACAGCCTGGGAGGGGGATAGGGAGCTTCCCCGATATGCCGCCTACTGGAGTATCGAGAATTAGAGAGGGGAAAAAAAAAAATTTTCCAACTTTGTTGGGGGTCTCAAATTTGGCTTTCAATTGTTATTTGTTTGTCTTTTTTTTTTTTAATAAATCCGCCTTAATTTTATATTGTTTTTGATAGGGTTCTTAAGTCGTAATTTCAATTAAGGTTTTTAGCTAACTAACAAATAATGCTTTATTCTTAATTCATTGTTTGGTGGGTTAACTAACAAATCAAATAAACTCGCTAGTTCCAGACATATTTTAGGCTAAAAATCGGAGGAGTTATTTTTATCATCAACAAAAAAAAAAAAAAAAAAAAGAAAAAAAAGGGGGACATTCAATTCTAAATAATGCTCACTATAAAAAGTGAAAAATTATTGATTTAAAAGTAAAAAACTAATCCAAAACCTGGAGGTTCTTTATGCCTTATAGATGACAACGAGTATGTACTCCAACGGTTATTGGTTAGTCACTACTGGGAATCCAAGTTCTAAATTAGACATGCTAGTCTTGAACAAGAAATTCCTTAACTTCAGCAGGAATTTATCTTCGAGTCGGCATCGAATCCCCTCCTCCCTCCGTCAGGAGCCACGCCCATTTATGGTGGGTGGGGGGGTTGTAAATAAAAGAAATTTCTGTTGAATGATGAGCGGGTTCGGATTTATTTTCAAAGCTAAAGGATAAATAAAAGAAAAAAAAAAGAGAGAGAGAGTGAAAAAGAAAGCGAACTTATAGGACACGTGATACAAAAATTTGCCAAGCAGAGTTACCTAGTAGTTGGAAAATGATGAAATTGACACTTCATTTTTTTTTTTTTTCTCTTTTTTTTTTTTTTTACTAAGAAAAAAAAAACAAAAAAACTAAAAGGCTATTTTCCAGAAAAAAAAAAAAATCTAACTTCAAGTTGAAAAATATGTTCAGAAACAATCTAAAGTAAAACTAATATTCGCGGGACAATTATTGGAATGAATATTGACTTAAATATCTCTAAAAAGTTTGGAAATACGATTTAATGTGTTACTTTTTATGAGGATTTTCTTTAACTATAACTTCGACATGCTAAAGCTAAACAAATAAATGAGCAGTATTAGTGTTTCCTCCACCCGCAAAAAATAAAGAGTTACTTTTTAGTTTTAATAAAGTTAACTTATTATATCTCAACAAATTCAAGCAGAATAGATTGTATTTTTATTTTTAATAATCGTTATGTTTTTATTTCTAGAGTTTCTGGGCATCCGTTGGGCGTAAATTTTTCCCTCCTATATAAAACTGAAAATAAAACTTGATATTATGAACTCTTTCGTGTTTAGAACAACAAAAAAAAACTAACCACGATAGAAAATAAATTTAATAAAACAAATTAAAGTTATAAATAGTTCAACAGTTGTTTGTTGTATTTTTTTTTTTTTTTTAGAACACACGAAAAAGACAAAAATAGTTACTTTTGAGTTTGACTACTAACCTGTAACTGTCGTAAGTGAATCCTTCTCGAAGTGGGAGTTTACTTGCAAAATGGTTGTTCTGAAGACGTTTATAAAAATAAGCATACTGTCTTGCAATACTCTGGTAATGAGTGAATGTTTCTGACAACACAGGGGAACCTTTCAACAACTTAAGTTCCTCAGGAGTAAAATACAAAGTGGTATTATAAGTTGACGGTAAACATTTAATATAAGGCATCCAAAAGGAATCAGAGCTTTTAGATTCTTTCAACAAATACATTGCAAGTACCACGTTGGGCATGACCCGTAGAATTTGGTCTTCCGTTATCAGAGGCCCCATTTGGGATTTTCGAGCAGTGTCAACGCTCATAATTAGCTTCCGTGGTATGGATAAAAGTAAATCACCCTCCTTGAGGTCTGTCACAGCCTTCAAACCGAATCCATAACCAGGAAATTCTTGTATGGCCACTCGAGAATAATCAACCCCGTTCTCCTTGAGCCACTGTAAAAAGTGTGGCCATTCTTTGGTCCTGTCATGATACGTGCTCACCAGGTTCTTTTGACGATCGCGTATTTTTTGTATGAGATTGTAAATTTCCATAAAATCGTCCCATTCTCTGGAACCGGAGCTGATGGGCTCTACACATTTTTCTAAAAGTTGAGTGCAAAGATCTAAAATCTCCTTTTTAGTGGCCCGGTCCAGGCAAATATTTTCAGACGTCTGGCCGGGTCGCTGTACCACAGTTTTCTTGTTCTTTTTCCCCATGTTTTAAACGACGACTAAAAGGAAGTAAATGACAAACGATACAGGCGAATAAGCGTGTCCGTCAATTTAAAAAAATAAAATAATACAAGCTGACTTTTGGTTAGTTTTCTGTCTCTCTCTATATCTCTCCCCCCTTCTTCTTTTTTTGGTGCGTATGTTGTTTGGAGTTTAAAAAAAAAAAAAGTTAGGTGCGACCTAAAGTGGGGAGGAGACAGAGAAGCTGAGTTATCTGCCCCTCTAGCCATTCCTAAGCCTTGAAAAGAATGCCGTTGCTTTGAAAAGATAATCTTTGATTGGTTAATTTCAACGAACCAACCAATCAGAATCAAGCTTATTTATTTTCTTAGTAGCAGACGTCATTAGCAACATGTCGGCATCTGGCAAGATGACTGGATTTGTTAATAATCTACTCGGTTTACTTTTCCTATCTCTCGCCTTGTATTTCGTCGACGGTCGAATCCACCGCTTAAAACTCGAGGTACGCTGTCTTTAAATCTTCACAGCTTTACACTTGACCTTGTCTTTATTATTTTTCTCGTTTTTGTTTTTTTTTTTTTTAATATTTTTTTCCTCGTTTTATCGACGACGTCCTTGATTTTTGAAAAATAATCGAGAAACAGAAGAAAATTACAAGTGTACGTAAAATGAGGGATCTGTTTGTAATTGATTTTAAGTAGTAAATTGAATACCCATTTTGTGGCCACACGGACGTACACGTCTTTATTATTGATGACAACACTGATTGTCAATTTAAATGCAATATATTTTCGGATTTTCTTTTTTTTTTTTTTTTTTTTTATTTTTCGGAAATAAAATAAAACTCTGCTCCAAACCTTTTTCTAAATTGGTAGCGCTTAATAATTTATTTTAGTGTTGAGTTCTAACCGTTTATTTAAGTGAAAAAAAAATTAATTTTATAACGACAGTTTTTTTTTTTTTTTTTTTTAGTATTTAAAAAAAAAATGGTAGTCATTATTTTTCTACATCTGTGGTTATTAACTCTTTTCTTTGTCTTTGGGAACTTTCCTTGTGTCGAAAGAATTTAATAAATATCATCTTTTTAATAACTACTTTCAGAATCGATTACGTACATGTTTTTCCTAAGACAGTTGAGTAAACACAAACAAAACTAAAAAACAAAAAAAAAACCTCATCTTTCCCCTTTTACTCTACGTGTCTGTAGTTTGTTGATATTCATATTGTGAAATTGCTCTAACAATTAACAGTAAACAATAAAACATTTATCATTTATTTAATCAATATATATAGAGTTGTAATCTAAAAGTAAAACTGGGTGAAAAAAGGGGATTTGTTTCTGTGACCACATTTATAACCAAAAATGTGATACTTGTTTAATTTTTTAGCAAAAATTAACAAAAATTCACATTTAATTTAACAATTTCTTCTTTGTTTTTTGGAACCTTAAGGCTTAATTTCTCCATTTTGTCTTCAGCATAATTTTACGTTCACATGACCAAAATTTTATCTCCGTTTTTTAAATGCATAACCTAAAAATTTCATGTTTTGTTTTTGTATTTTACTAGGAAAATGAATAAACTAACGAATTCACGATATGGGTAAAAAAATCTTCAAATACTCTGTCTTTTACAGTTTTTTTATATATATATATATATATATATATATATATATAATCAATTCTCCTCACGCAAGGTAAGAATGCCACTAAGACTCAAGGGGGAGAGGGGGCTATAGTGGGACTGTAAAAGAAGAATGAAAAGATTTTAGAAGGAACCGAGAACCAGGAATAAACGCGAAACATGAGTATATACTCGAGTATATACTCCTGTTCAAAAGGCCGGGGAAGAGTGTTTTAAATGTTAAAAATGGGTTCATCAGAATAAATAAAAAAAAAAATGGAAATAAAACTAAAAGGTTCGATTCTTGTCGACAGTCACATTTTTCTTTTTCTTAATAAGATTTTCAAACTCTCTAGTCCAGCCAGTAGATTTTTAATTTCACTGTTTTGAAAAATCAAGGATGATTACTCAAACTACAACGTTTACTCACTTAACGTTCATGGTAATAAGAAATAATATAGATACCCTTCCCACCCCCCAAAAATATACATATTTGTGTACTGCATAATGTTGCGTATTATATAAAAATTTACCTTGTTTCATATAGCGAAAGCCATATGAAAAAGCACATTGCAAGTACACCCACCTTCCTTACCTAAAGTATGGAATTTTGCTTTTTATGACCACATTATCGAATAATAAAATAAAACTAAAAGGAAAACAAACCTTTCCTTTTTTTAATGTTTTTTTGTTTTTTAAGTCTGTTAGAGTTATTGATTAATTTATTTTCTAGTTGGTATTAATAATTTCCATTTTAAAGTGTGTGTGTGTTTTTTTTTTTTTTTTTTTTTCAATGAAAATCTCATGTTAAAAAAAACAAAGACCATCTCGAAATCTTTGGACTTGAAATCGGTCAAGAAGACTCAAGATTTATTTCACTTTTTTTTTCTTTTTTTGCATTCATTTTTAAAAACATTCTTAATCTTAACTCTTAGTAATCACAACGCCTTCATTTTTGGCTGCATTAAAATTTTAATTTAAAAAATCTCGTATTAAAAAAAAAAATACAAAATGCTTCAGTACTGGGTTTTTTGCATGACTGTCCTCCAAAAACCATCTTGCTTGTCTTGTTCAATGAATAAAAAGACTTTTTGTGATAATTGTCGTGGTTGATCGATTTTTGGAGGAATTTTTAAACAATTCTTCTCACGATAATGTTATTTATTAAAAAAAAAAAAAAAAAATTATCGTCATGCCCCCCCCCTCATTTTTCACTTAAACAAGAAAATAATCTTTTAACTAACAGATTTTTAAAAGCTCTGTAGTTGACTACTACTATAATTACAGTGTAATTTAATTGCTGGAGGTAAAAAAAAAAAAAAATACGAGAAAACAAGTGAAAATAAACAAATGCGTCAGTTGAGTTTCTTAAACGGGAAAATAATTTGAAATATGCAATATGCTAATTAAATTTAATTTAATTAAAAAAACAAAAACGTAAGTTTTTTTTTTTTTTTTTTTTTTTTTTTATCATTCCTTATATTGGAAATACATATTGACATTTTTTTGGCAGTATTGATATTTTGGTCATTTAACTTGAAATAAATCACTTTGTTTGTCTTCAGTACTAATGACGTTCAAATTCTAGAGATTGTTTTAAGTCTTATTTCGTTTTGGCTGAAGAAGCCACATTTCTGGAGTACCTAGTTGGTCTGGCTTCTTACCCATGGCCAAGTACCCAAACATGTATTTTTTTTTTTTTTTTTTTTTTACAAAGTGTTTCTCTTATTAAATGAAATGATATTTAATACTCATTAAGCTTTCTATGGAAATCACTTTCAGTATCTTCTATTTCATGTACATAATTCTTTTTACGAATAGTTACATAGTCATTGAAATAGCTTCTGGGAGATTTTTTCTCTTTTGCTTGCCCTGGCCTTGCATATCCTTAATTTGGGCTGACAACTATTAGTTTTTATTTTGTTTATTTGCAGGAGCAGAATATTCTTACAATATTTGATTTTAAATCTTTCTTGAGAGCAATATGGAGGAAATCTTACTTTCTGTATACTCCCCCCATCTCCGTCTGTCATTTCTTTCATGGATCAAAATGGAGTGTCTACTCTCAAGTTAATTTTTTTTTTTTTTTTTTCTATTATAGCCTTGTTCAAACTTGATTGGGTTGTTCATAAAATGTAGTCTTTTTAAAGACTTTAATTGAAATCAAACTTAACTTCTAAACCCTTTAAAAATTAAAAGAAATTTTGTATGTTTTGTTATCTCTTTTATGAGGTTAGAGTATATTTACTGACTTGTAAAAGCTGAAATGAGTGTGTTATGTTTCTTTGTCATTTATTTAAAAGCATCATAAAAATCCCAGACTTTGGTGACACTTGAGAAAATAATATTGGATTGTCTGATAGCAATTCATTACTTGAATTCACCCACATATTTCTTTCCCTAGGACAAAGTCTGAAATTCTCATCAATATAAATGACACACAAATTGACTTCAATGTTAACAAAGTGTGACTAATTGTGTGCATGAAACTGTCATTAGTTGAATCTTGTGGCATAAATAGCCTTTATTTTTGACTTGTGAAAATAGGCCTTGTTCATTATGAATAATGACAATGCAAGCTTTTCATTAATAACAAAGATTGTAAAATTTCATTTTCACTTTCTTATAAAAATATGTAAGTGAGTTTAATTATACTTTGTTTTATTAAACTGGCTAATTCACCACCAGTGTTAATTTTTGTTATTCTAATCACTCTTCAAGTTTTACCTAGCTTTGGCCAGTACTTAAGCTAGAATCTAAGATAAAAAACCAGTGGACAAAATCCCAGCCTCTTATTCCAAAAGTGGACAAAATCCCAGTTTCATATAAGATTAATAATATTAGGTGTAAAGATCATTCAGCTGTTATCATAGA